TTCATCGTTAATGTATTTATCTTACATTATTTATTATTATTATTATTATTATATTTGCTCAAAATGCAATAAACAGCTTACAAAGGCACACATCCTCATGAACGTTTCAAACCACCAGAGCTCTTCAACTCCCTCATGTATTTTCAAAGGGCACTTCCGTAAAGCCTCATGATTATGACACTAAAACCATGCTAGGAACATACAGGGGCTGTCGAGACGCTTGTTTTTACGCAGCATCTCGGCATGCCTCAGTTCTGAGGTTTTCTTGTGCTGTGTCAGATCTGATCAGTAAGAAGCAGTTTTAAAGCATGTGCTGATCATACAGCTCTTTGCTACAAACTAAGTTTATGGTATTTTAAAATGCAAGTGGTATATAAAAAGGGGTTTCACTCAGGGATTTTAGTTGGTCAACAATTCGTCAAGTAAACCACTGGGTAAAGTCCCTTCCATGAGAGTCAGTAATTCGTAACTTCAGGGGGAAGGCGGAGGGGTTGTTTTAATTACTCTCTTTGAGCAGACTAATTGTAAAAGTATTCAAAATAGACGCTTTCACATCCCATAAAACAGTAGGCAGCAAATCAAGACCAGCACACTTAAGCACTTGAAAAAAACCTACCCCTCCCACAAAGGAGACTCACGTAATCACTCTTGAAAACAATGTGCAAGGGTAAACTTTGGCAGTCAAGCCATCCTGCTAATGCCCTTCACTGCTCACAGGATCCAAGAAGCTACAGATATGTAAGTACAGAAAAGAATTAACTTTTTTTTTTTTTTAACTGAAAACTACAAATAGTTCCAGAAATAATATTTCTTTTTTTTTTTTTTTGCATTATACTGAATATTTTCATGTGGTAGGAAGGATAAATGATCTTTGGATGGGAGAGACAAGGCTCGTGGAAGAAATTCTGTGGTATTTTATGTTGACATATTAATATGCTGCCAGCTAATTTTTATTTAAAGGATCCGTTGACCCACAGCTTAACAAGTTATTTCAAGTCCTTTCTTATAATTTCGACAATCACGAGGAAACTTTTGATACTCCATTAGCATAGACATTTTTTTAGCAATAGTAATTTAAACTACACTAAAGCAGAAATAACTACAGGACAAGCAGTAAGCGAAGCACTGCAGTTCTTAAGTGGTTCACTGACCCTCACAGAGTACTCTAATAGTGGGAGAGAGCCTTAGAACAAATTTGTACTGTGGTTGTGAATGCGTAGCTCACTCTATCACATGCGCTCCTTATCTATGAAACAGCCTTCACTGTCAGCTCAAGAGCTCCTCAGTCCCTCTTCTCATCTCTAAATACTGCAACACGGTATTTCAAGGATTTAAGTTTTGTGAGCTAATTCCTCTTTTACCCTCTGACACGCATTTCTTTCAATGTTTTTATAAGGAATTCTTTTCCACAATTGCAATCACCAAAAATCTCTCTCCTTTTTATTGATCTTTATGCCACAAAGTCAAAGAAATATTACACATGCTATGATTTTTATACATCTTCCCACTTCAAAAGGATCTGTTTTTCATATTATACTGGCAAAAAAAAGATAGATAGTTCAACAGACAGGAGCTCATCTATATTTTTTCTTAAAATTATAGACAGCACCATGCATGCCTTTGGGCACAGAATACAAGAGGTCTGCCTAACATTTTTATGGCATGAGGGGACTGAAAACTTACCTGTCAGTTAGTCTTTAAGAGTTCAAATCTCATCTCTCTCTGCTTAAAAGGCTGAGGAGTACATATACTTATAATGAATAATAAGTTTAAGCTAAAGTTATGAAATTGTAATCCCTAATATTAAATATTGCACCTGTATAGGAGGAAATAATATAAAAGGTGTGCATTTCTTTCTAGTAGAAAGATAGGAATTCTTACTTGACCCTTTTTTCTTTTG